GGGGAGATGCTCCCTGGGGCGGGGTGGGGTGCTAGGACTCCAAGCCGGACAGGCCCCTCACTTGTCACCTGTGCCTCAGTTTCCTCACAGGATGGACCCCCCCCCCAAACTTCCCTGCCCCATTAAGGATGGGATGAAGATGAAGTCATCCAGGCCAGGCCCGGTGGCTCATGTTTGTAATCCCAACACCTTGGGAGATCGAGGTGGGTGGATCACTTGCAGCCAGGAGTTCAAGACCAGCCTGACCAACATGGTGAAACCCTGTCTTTACTAAAAATACAAAAAATTAGCCGGGTGTGGTGGCGGGCACCTGTAGTCCCAGCTACTTGGGAGGCTGAGGCAGGAGAATGGTGTGAACTCGGGAGGCGGGGCTTGCAGTAAGCCAAGATCGCACCACTGCACTCCAGCCTGGGCCACAAAGCAGACTCCATCTCAAAAAAAAAAAAAAAAATTAGCCAGGTGTGGTGGCGCCTGCCTGTAATACGCACTACTCAGGAGGCTCGGTGACACGGTAAGACTCATCTCAGGAAAAAAAAAAAAAAAGAAAGAAATGAAGTAATCTCATAAGCCACCTAAAAAGGTGTCCAGCACATGGCAGGTTGGCCCTGCCGTGCCCAGAGCCCTGGTCTTCCCCTACACTACTCAGACGGGGAGAGGGGAGGTGGCCGATATACAGGGGCTCATGGGTGAGGCAAAGGCAGGTATTTAACAGATATATCCCATTCTCCATCCAGACACCCACTGGCTGCACCCAGGGCTGGGAGGAGGCACAGGGCTAGGCCAGGCCTGGGTGATGGCTCTTGGGGAGGCCCCAGGGTGACCCAGCCTTGAGGAACTGAAGGAGGGAGATTTTTTTTTTTTTTTTTTGAGACAGGGTCTCTCTCTCTCGCCCAGGCTGGAGTGCAGTGGTGTGATCATGGCTTACTATAGCCATGAACTCCTGCGATTACAAGCGTGTGCCACTGTGCCCAACTAATTTTTAATTTGTTTGTAGACGGGGGTCTCACAGTGTTGTCCAGGCTGGTCTCAAGCTCCCAGGCTCAAGAGATCTTCCCTCCTCACCTGCCAAGTATTTGGGATTACAGGTGTGAGCCACTACACTCGGCCAGAACGAAGGAGACTTGGCAGCCCCCTAGACTAGCCCCAGCACTGAAGGGGAACCCTGGCAGAGGGCAGCGACTCATCTTCCCACCAGCCCAGCTCAGCCCCCACTAGCCTGTCCCAGCCTCCTCCACCCACCGCTGAGTGTCAAAGGAGCCCACCAGGCCTGAGGTGGGGTGAGATCACGGTCTCAGCGCAGTTCCTCAAGCCCATCTCTCCCCGCCTCCATGACTCAGTTTCCCAGCATCACAGGGACCTGGGAGTAGAGGAGCCCAGCCACGTGCCCCTGGACATGTCACCTGCCTTCTTTGAACCTCAGTTTCCTCATCTGTAAAATTGGAGCAGGAATCCTGCCTCCCAACAGAGGTGCTGAGAGCTGGAAGCAGATGATACACAGCACCTGGCCTCCGTGACGAGGTGCCACGAGGTGGTTACTCTTAGCCTGTGATGGACGTGATATACCAGCCCTGATGCGCCCTTTGAGGAGCAGGCCTCCCCAGCCGACCAGAGGCCGATTCTGGGGCACAGAGGCACGCACCTGCCTCGGGCTTCCATGCTGGCTGTACCCTCGGCCCGTGACACTCTTCCCCCAGATACCGGCACACACAGCTCTCGCTCTGGTGCTGCCACTCAAGTCTGTGCTCAAATGTCAACTTTTGGGGAGGCCTTCCCTGACCCCCTCTACTGGAAACTGCAGCACCTCCCACGGTCCAGCACTTCCTAATTCCCTATTTCCGATTAAATTTGTTCAGCAGTCACCATCAGACATGGACTCATTGATCTGGCCTGCTGCCTTCCTCCCCTGCTGGAATAGAACCAGCTTGGCAGAGACACATTTTTGTTTTATCTTATTCTCGTTTCATTTCCACTGCTTAAATGTTTAGCACATAGTAGGTGCTCAAGAAATATCTGCTGAACAAATTTTTCATTGCCATTAGTGACCAACAGAGTACGTTCTCAGAAACGTGTGTGTGTGTGTGTGTACATATTTGAGACAGGGTCTCGCTCTGTTGCCCAGGCTGGGGTGCAGTGGTGTGATCATGGCTCACTGCAGCCTTGACCTCCCAGGCTCAAGTGATCCTCCTGCCTCTGCCTCCCAAGTAGCTGGGAGTACACACTCACGCCACCCTACCCAGCCCTCAAAAATATTATCATTAAATAGGTTAGGAATAAGGCCAGGCACGGTGGCTCATGCCTGTAATCCTAGGACTTTGGGGGGCCGAGGCAGGCGGATCACTTAAGGTCAGGAGTTCAAGACCAGCCTGGCCAACATGGTGAAAGCCTGCCTCTACTAAAAATACAAAAATTAGGCATGGGGGTGTGCACCTGTAATCTCAGCTACTCAGGAGGCTGAGGCAGGATAACCTGTTGAACCTGAGAGGCGGAGGTTGCAGTGAGCCGAGATCACACCATTGCACTCCAGCCTGGGCGACAGAGCAAGACTCTGTCTAAAAAAAAAAAAAAAAAAAAAAAAAAAAAAAAAAGTTAGGATGAATGTGTGTGAAAAAATAACTTAAAAAATAATAAATAAATAAATAATGTTATTAAATTGGGCCGGGTGCAGTGGCTCATGCCTATAACCCCAGTACTTTAGGAGGCCTAGGCAGGAGGATTGCTTGAGGCCAGAAGTTCAAGACCCAGCATGGGCAATACAGTGAGATCCTCTCTCTACAAAAAATTAAAATAAAAAAATGTGCAGAGTGTGGTGGTGCACGTCTGTATTCTCAGCTACTCAGGAGGCTGAGGCAGGATGAGTGCTTAGCCCAAGAGGTTGAGGCTGTGGTGAGCTATGATTGTGCCACAGTGTGACAGAGCCAGACCTTGTCTCTCAGATAAAATGTATTAACTAGTACTATCCAGCACTTCCTGGATACTCCCTCCTTGCCAGCTCTAGGAAAAAAAGTATCCTTTTTTTTTGGAGATGAAGTCTCTGTCGCCCAGGCTGGAGTGCAGTGGCGCAGTTTCAGCTCACTCCAACCTCCGCCTCCCAGGTTCAAGCGATTCTCCTGCCTCAGCCTCCTGAGTAGCTGGGATTACAGGCACACACCCCCATGCCTAATTTTTATATTTTTAGTAGAGACGGGGTTTCACCATGTTGGCCAGGCTGGTCTCGAACTCCTGACCTCAAGTGATCCACCCACCTCGGCCTCCCAAAGTGCTGGGATTACAGGCGTGAGCCACCTCGTCTGGTCAGGTGCTCTGTATACATTCTTGCCAACACTCCCACCAGCCCTGGACCTTCAGGGAGGCCTGGCTGCACTTGGGGAAGGATGCCAGGCTCCAGGTCAGCTCCAGATGACAGATGTGGGGGCTGAGGCCACCTGCCCAGAGTCACCAGTGACAGCCATTAGATAACATGGCTGCCTCCCTCACCAGACTGGCAGTTCTGTGTTGGGTCCCAGGGCCTGGGCTGGGAGTCAACCAGGACTGGGAACCCTGAATGCCCCAGGAGGCTACTGGCTGCCCCGTCACTGCCCTGCCTTGGGGCCGGCCCATCCTGCACTGCATCTGGGCCCAGGCACAAGGGAAGGGCAGAACGACCTTTGCCTGGGGCTGCAGTTTAGCCCCGCAGGGCTCAGTGACCAGCCTGTCTGAGGTCGCACCACAAAGCCCCCTGCGCTCACTGCCTGGAAGGCCCTGTCCACCTCTGCTCACTCCAGATCCAAACCGCTTGCTTTCACTTGTAGCCAGATGTCCTGGAAGATTCCTGGGGCAGCACAGGACACACACACATGCACACACGTGTACATGCATGGAGCATGGACCTCATGTTTCCCCCATGCTTAGAACAGGACCCCAGCGGGTCCCCAGTCAGCATTTGCTGAGCAAGTAGACACACGCAGCGCAGGCTCAGGCCACACACGCAAACACAGGTGTGTTCAGCCTCACACACACGAGCAGACTTTGCGTGCATGTTCAGCCTTGCACATGCACATGCACACTGCACCCCCACACACTTTAAGCACGTTTAGCCTTGCACATGTGACCATACTGCCCACATGCACATGCGTGTTCAGCCTCACACACAAGCACACTGCACCCCTGAACACATGTATGTTCAGCCTTGCACACATGCAAGTGCACTGTGTCCACAAGCACACTTTGCATGCGTGGGCAGCCTTACCCAGAACAAGCACCGGGCACCCACTGGGGCTGCCTCTGCAGCCTCTCTCCCCTTATAAGGCCTCTTTGTGTAAGGCGAGGGCCCCGGAAGCACCACCTCGGCGCCCTCAGCCATGTCAGCAGGCCTGATGGGGGTTTCCCTGAGCGCTTCCTGTGTTCCCGGGCTGGGGCATCATCGCCCACATCTGATGCCAACACTGTGCAGAGAGAAGCTCAAGGCCTCTGACTGATTCACAGTGCTCCTCTACACCCCCACAACCCCCAT